GTGGGAGCACAGAGGCCTGCGGGAACGCCGCTCGGTGCCCACGGAGGGCAGCGTGCCGCCCGTCGGGAGTGTAGCGCCAGTCGGTTGCGCTCTCCCCGTGGCTCAGCATCGAGGTGTGAGCCCGGGTCTCCCAGTTACGTTCTCCTCCTGTTCCGCAGCGTGGCGGGGTCGTCTCTTTGAGTGTTGTACTCAAACCTCTGAAGTGATATTGGTGCTGCCAGACAGTGCTCAGAGCAGAAGAAAGACCAGTTGGCCAGTGGCTCAAAAATGAGAACTCTTTTCAGGGTGCCCAGCAACAGGACAAGGGGCAATTGGCACAAACTGAAGCACAGGAAGTTCCGTCTGAGCATGAGGAAGAACTTCTTCCCTCTGAGGGTGACGGAGCCGTGGAACAGGCTGCCCAGAGAGGTTTTGGAGTCTCCTTCTCTGGAGATGTTCAGGCCTCGCCTGGAGAAGGTCCTGTGCAGCCTGCTGTGGGTGACCCTGCTTCGGCAGGAGGGTTGGACTAGGTGACCCACAGAGGTCCCTTCCAACCCCGACCATTCTGTGATTCTATGAGAAGCCTCTGATGGATGTTAAAACACATGGCTAAAGGGTGTGACAAGTCAAAAGATGGCGGTCTGAAAAATGAAGGCAGGCAGGCAGAAAGGGCTTGCTGGGACCCAGCACAGAAAGAAGTGTGCGTGACCGCAGAGAAGATAAGGATGCTGCTTAGAAGCTAAAGGGTCTTCCTACAATTAGCCGTCAGTACGAAGGACGCTGACAAGAAATCTGAATTAGGCCTTTGTTAGCCTGAATTCACGGGCTGGGGGTAAAGTAATTGCTCAAAGGCAGGAAGGCGCAGGTTCTGGGGGAGTTTGGATAGAAGCTGGATGAGCTGCAAAGAAAAACTCGCATTTTAATTAAAAGCAGAGTGGAGGGTAGGACCAAATTCTTTCTGGTCCTTCTGGGAAGTTTCATGGAATTACGGGCCGAAAGCTGCAAATTTGAACTAAGCAAATTGAAATTTTTGAAATGAAATAGTAATGCCTGTGGAAGACCCTGACACTATACAGCCTTATCAGCTTTTGCAACAAAAGTGGTGTTCCAGTCTGAAAATTATGTCGGGAAAGCCGAGTCACTTGTTGATGCAGAAAACAAAGGCTGAGCACTCAGTGTATTACAAGTAAAATTCACCTCTTAGATACTTTGGAATTCCCTGAAATATTTGCAAATATGTTTTAATGCACAGAGTGTTCACAGCCCCAGCTGTAGTCCACAAGACCATTCACAAGCACGAGCCCTCACTGCGTTGCGCCCTAATGCAATACAGTTGAAAGTTAACAGCAAGTCCAGTTCTGAGGAAATAAGCTGGATGTGTATTTTTGTCTGACTCCAGATTTTTAAAATGCATTTGCTTTAAAAATGGAACTGCAATTTTAGTAACTTTACAAACCAGTGAAGGGAGTCTAGTTGCTTTCTGTGTCACCTCCTGAAATTCCTGAGTTGGTCTGAGCTAAGTGAAAGATGCCGAGACCCATCACAGGACAAGGACAGTCCTCTGTACTGCTGTATGTCCTGCCGTGTTCTTTCTGTACCTACTCCTTCGTGAGTGAAGCTCTCCTGCTCTCCACTACTCCTTGCTGAGATGACAAAAGCTTTCTCTTAGAACTTGCGCCACGTACAGACAGATTAACTTCCCTTCACTCCTTTCTCCTGCACTTCCTGACTTCCCTTCGAATTCACTGTTCTGATCCAGGTGTTAGAAGCAGAAGTCCCTGGCAAAGTCAGAAGATCTTGTTACCGGAGAACAGATCCTGCTGCTTAGCTTTGTCTTGCAGTGTACGTGCCCAATAAGGTTTGTGTGTTAGAGGATGTACTTTCTTTGTCCCAGTTGCTCACTGTTGGTCTGCCTCCCACCTAGGCTTACCACTGCAGTTTATGCTCCCTAAACCAGCAGAAGCCAAACGTTGCAATTAAGAGAGTGATTTCCTGCTCGTGTAATGACCTGAACTGGCTCACTGAGCAGTTCAATGAGTGCCGGAGCTAGCAGGAGGGACGATCAGGACTGCTGCAGCTGTAGCTTGAAGCGAGGGTGATGAAGCAGTGGGACAGTCCCTTTCGATAGCATCGTGCTG